CGAAATCCTACCATCATGTAAAACATTACAGGTTTCTGTTTTCACAGTCACCTGGTAGGACGGTAGTACCTCCCTGGGTGGTTGCTGTCTACCAACCTCATATATTTATATTAATACATCCACGGACAAGTGGTTTTTAAGAAAATGACAATATTAGACCAATAATGTTATTTACCTAAAACCACTCTTTCGTGGATGCATTACTAGGTGAACTGCTCATCAAAACTGGTATTCCAAACGAAAGGAGAATGAAATTAGTCCTGTAGCTTCCAGAGCAAGGTATGTGCTTACATCTCTGAAATCTAAAGTAGTGATATATCGGATGTTCGATGTCAATGCATCATTCATTTGATGCATTAATATGAGGACTGCTTTGAAGACTGTTATTCCAAATGGGAGGAGAATGAAATTAGTCTTGAAGTTTCCACGGCCAGATATGTGCTCGCATCAGGAGTGACATTTCCAGTGGTGGAAATATAAACACATATGCAGTATAATGTGATCCTTTATTGACAACGTTTCACCCACACAGTGGGCTTTTTCAAGTCACACACAGATCTGTGTGTGACTTGAAAAAACCCACTGTGTGGGTGAAACGTTGTCAATAAAGGATCACATTATACTGCAGATGTGTTTATATTTCCACTGTGTCGGTATTTGATACCATTTATTTCCATTTCCAGTGGTACTGATGTTGAAACATTGACGGCCTAGTGGACTAAGGTATCTAGAAATTTTGGTGGGTTTCTCGGGAGGCTTACCTTACTCTCCGAATCCTGCAGACTTCGATCTTTCTCTGTACATACCCTCGTTTGTTTATGCGTGGTACAATAATATAATAATCGCTTGTGAGGCCAGAACATACACGAAAGTGAAATAGCTTCAAATCTTGCTTGAGTCCCACTAGTGTGCTCGAGCTCGGAAGAAACATGGCTTGTAAACCACGTGTGGCCGAGTGATCTTGAGCGTCACTTGCGGAACCTCGCCAGACTTCCCTGACGTGGTTTTGGATCCTACTGATTTAGGTCTTTCTTTATATCGCCACTTCTTATATCATACAGGAAGATAATGAATTAGCTTGAAATTATACTCTTGTATATATACATATATATATACAGAAGGGTAGACCTAGGAAGGATTTGGACTTAATTTGTACCGTATTACATTGTCAGGAGCACCAGCTGTAACCCAACTGAAGGTCTTCCCTCAGCCCATAACCTTGAAAAGTAGATCTATTCTTACCCCCCTCCCCCTCAAGGTCACATCGCCGATAAACTCAACATAAGTCGTAATAAACAACTGTCGAAGGGCTCGAAATGCAGTTCGTAAATTGAGTTAAACTTTATGTATTCTTACCCATGTTTATGAGAGTTTGCATATTTGCCGCCCAAAGTTTATTGATGAAGAATTCTTGAAGATTTATGAAGTAGCTAATGATCTAAAATACCCAAAATACGTAATTGATAAATCCTTTAAAATTGCTAGAAATACATTTTACAATTAAAAATGGACAAACATTCACATTCAACCAAGAATATGTTGATTTCTCTTAACAAGTTGAAGTATTTTTTTATAGTTCCTTGATAATGTGAGAAGTCACGAACGCACCGGGAATTTGCTGTATTTTTTTCAGTGGTTGTTCTGCATATTTTGATATCACCCTTTTACTGTGAATTCATTGCATACTTTATATATTTTATATATATATATATATATATATATATATATATATAATATATATATATATATATATATATATATAATATATATATAATTATTGTGACCACGAACGATTGGTTATTGACCATAACAATCCACTGCACTAGCCAAGGACTCGAACCATGGTGTTTTGGGCCCTGCCTCATGGTGGGCGAAAACACATGACGCCCTAATCCACTGGCCCTTTACGACCCTTAATAGTAGCGTATCCAGCGGCATTAAATGTTGTACTCGCTACCAAGGAGCATGGGTTCGAGTCTTTGGCTAGTGCAGTGTTGTTATTGATCAATACCACTCGCTCGTGGTCATAATAACATAAAGTACTGCTCGATGAACTAGTACACCAAACAGGGACTAGAATGAAATTAGTCTAGAGTCATCCACACCATCGTGTGTCCTTGGGCAGCGATTTTTCAATATTCAGTCCCGTGGATCGCCTGCTCTTAAGGATCGTATGGTCCAGTGGATTAGGGCGTCATGTGTTTTCGCCCACCATGAGGCAGGCCAAAGTACCATGGGTTCGAGTCCTTGGCTAGTGCAGTGTTGTTATTGGTCAATACCAATCGTTCGTGGTCACAATAATATAAAATACTGCTGTTGAACTAGTACACCAAACAGGGACTAGAATGTTGTCAATGATTAAAATATATATATATATATATGATATATATTTTATAATATTATATATATATATATATATATATATATATATATTATATAATATATGTGTGTGTTCATTTACATTTTTTAATGCATCCAGAGAACGAAGTGGTTTTAAGCAAAAAAACAATACTGAGACTAGCCTGGGTCAAAACCCGGGAAATTTTCCCGGTTTTTCCCAGCTCTGGCCCTTCAAATTAATTTGTTCATTGACAATGATGTATTTATTTTTATTTTAAGACAGTGTCTGCACTCAGAAGGATGGGTGTTAATGTTGCCTCTGGCAAGACAGGGATGGAGTGAATGATGATGAAAGGTTTTCTTTTTCGGGCCCCCCTCCCTTTGGGGGGAAACGGCCGATGTTTTAATAATAATAAAAAAACCCCTACCTGAAAAAACCTCACTTAACTTCACTTAAACTAAGGAAATATTTTTAGCTGAATTCTGCCATGTTTGCACATTACTTATAAACAATTATATATTTTTTGATATGCTGCCATTAACTCCAACATACTGCGGTTAAGGCCTCCCGTCTATCGTTTATTCTTTTACACACATTTATTACGAATTAATCTGAGTTCATAGAATATATAGCATTGACGGAGGTAAGAATAGATTTCCTGATAAAGCTCCTGGGCTAAAGGAAAGATTCATTTTTTTGAGCTTGATAGAATATTACATAATTATCTGTAAACTTTAGAATTCAATTAATATAAATACAATATACTCACCTTTGAGGTGCACAGGAACAGTCCTCCACTATGTTGGGTCTAGCTGGAGGCGTTGGTGTTTGTGTGGGACTATTCTTGGTAGAGAGGTTATTGCGTGCCCTGGGTGGGGGGGTGTTAGGCCCTGGGGAGGCAGGATCAGGGGCACAGCAGGGAGGACGACGAAGCAATATAGGATGGAAGCCCTCGCCTCCTTTTAACCGTCAGGATCCCGTCAACAGAGGCCGGTACAGGTTGTCCAGTGGAATGATAGAACCTTCACTGCCTTTGTCCGGAGTCTCGTACATTCTCTGGCGGTACTTCCTGGAGAGAACGGACATGAGGCACACTACGACTGTCATTACCAATATAATACCCATAACGGCTGCTACTGCTACATTTGAGGTTCTGGATATCCCTTGCATCATGAACTCCACATCCTGGGTAGTAGCGTGGCAGCAAGAGATCTGAAGCCAGTAACCAGTGCTGTCTTCATTACCAATGCAGAAGTAGTAATGAGATTCAGGTTTAAGTCGACTAATGGTAAAAGTCTTTCGTGATGGACTTGTCATGCTTGAACGTTTTTCTCCCACTTCAGTGCCATTGGCGTCAACTTCGGAGTAAACAATCTTGTAAGAGGGAAAGGCTCGACGTTCTGTGCCATTCCAGACAAGAGTTACAAAGGTTGACGAGACACGAACTGGAAAAAGGTGCATGTCAATACCAGTAACATTCAGGGTTATGGAGCTGTAAGTTCTATTTACAGTATTTTCGGCCACACAAGTGTATACACCTCGATCTGTGGGCTTCAGATGATAGTAGACTAGTGTCCCAGGAGGAAAAAATCTTCGTCTGACCTCATTCAGAGTCGAGTTAACCAATGAATTATCTGGCAGGATCCAGTGTAACCTCGGCCGGGGTGAACCCAAGGCGCGACATTCTAGCACCTGACGTTCACCAACTTTGCCCACAACGTTTTGAGACTGGGTTAAATTTAGCACTGTAGGAGCACAAATTTTGGGAAGTTTGGAGACGACAACGTCTTTCAGGAGCTTGTGTGCTAAAGTGGGCGGGCTGTAGCACACTAAGTGGTCGGGTTCAAGAAGGGATATGTTTGCACTGACACCAAGATCTATCAACTGACGTAGCCAGCGCACATTACAATCACACTTTAGGGGGTTCTCATGTAATGAAATCTCTACACCTTCGGGCATATATCGAGCCATTTCTTTCTGTATACCTTCAAGTTTATTATTATGAAGTTGTAGTTCCTTCAATGCGTCTACGTTCATAAAGGCGAGTGGGTCAATATATGCTAGCTTCTCATTGTTAGTTATTTCTATAGTTGAAATGTTGACCAGATTGTAAAAGGCTTTAGAATCAATTATATTAAGTTCTGGCATGTGACATAAACTTATCTTTGTTACACTGAGGTGGGAAAAGTCCAGTGGTTTAATCTTCGTAAGTGGATTTTGGTCAAGAGAAAGCCTCTCTAACATTGGTAAACTCTGAAAGGCTGCTGTTGGTATTCTTTCTAGAAGATTGTCTTCGAGTGTCAAAACCTGAAGACTGATCAAGCCTGAGAAAGCGCGGGGGTCTACAGTTGAAATTCGATTACCAGCCAAGTATAGACGTTCTAATGCCCCCAGAGCTCGAAACACCGATGCTGGGATGTTGTGAATCCTGTTATGCGCTAGGTTAAGAACCACCAATTGTTTTAGACCATGAAACCATTCCTCATATAATGAGCCCAAAAAATTTTGTTCCAGGTCCAGAGTCTGTAGGTTTTTAAGATCCACCAAAGCCTCATCTTCGATATAGTTTATTTTGTTATTTGAGAGAACTAGGTGTTCGAGTGCTTTGGGACCAACAAGATTATCATGGAAAATAGTGGATATAGTGTTTTTGCGACATTCAAGTACGACAGTCGTGACATGTTCTGAAACATTCCTCCTTTTCCCCAAAGGATTTTATTCGATTTCTAGACAAATCTAGTTCTCGCAGGCCAGTGAGTTGTGATAAATTGTCCAAAACATGGTAAATGGAATTTCCTCTGACAGTTAGTACCTGCAGATCATTTGGCAACTTCTCAGGAAACGTTTTCATGTTGGTAAATGAACAATCAAAAGTCTTCAGCTCCTCATGAAGATGTTTGGAGAGTAATATACCGCAGGAGCATCCATCTAAGCAAGAGCTGTAAGAGTCAGTCGGGATGTCTCCTACAGCTCTGCCAAGCTCCACCGTCCTCCACAGCATCAAAGCCCGCAGCAGCAAAACCGCAAAAGAGGACGGAAGTTGTATCCTGCCAGTCGTCAGTTTCTCCATCCTCATGGTTACCAGAAAAGTTTATTAGCATCACCATAAGTGAATGAGGCTGAACTCGCTGGAAAGTCTGATCCCAAGACTTCATGTAGCTAAATACAGAATTTCCAGATTGCCTCCGCTTCTTCAGGAAAGTCGCTGCTAAATTTTCAGAGTATAATAAACTTTATGAACTTCTGGAATTGTAGTTGCTTTTGATCCCAGTCCCTGCAAGAATGAAAGAAATATTTGTATTTATCAGCAATCACAATATAAATGCATTTTTTTAGTTAAAGAATTGCAAAAAAGAATCAGAAAGTTTGTTAACTAATGACAATAGAAATAACTTACTGAATTACATGTATGTTCAATTTGGAAGGTTCTACCCAAGACCTGAATCTCTGGAAACATAAACACATATGCAGTTTAATGTGATTCTTTATTGACAACGTTTCGCCCACACAGTGGGCTTTTTCAAGTCACAAACAGATCTGTTTGTGACTTGAAAAAAGCTCACTGTGTGGGCGAAACGTTGTCAATAAAGGATCACATTAAACTGCATATGTGTTTATGTTTCCATTGTGTCGGTATTTTATACCATTTATTTTCACCTGAATCTCTAAAGAAAATGAATACCCTTTAGACAAATGAGAAGTTTTAAGTGAAATTAAAAGATTCTAACATTGGTCAACTACATAACATTCCAGTGTAACTTGACTCACGAAATCGTAATGACACGATTGCAAACAAACCACAGTGGTGCCTATGCTAACCTTCCTATGGTGTAGAAATATACCTAGTTGGACGAATCTTATTGTGGCTAGCTGGTCCAGTGGCTAACGCGACGGTCTGGAGTTTTGAGACTCTCTGATCGCGGGTTCTATCCCCGCCCGTGGTATGGTTTATTCCAGTGTAGTACAAATACAATAGTGAACCATTAGTCTCTCAGTTAAAATGAGTATCACAGTGAACAGTGTGTATGACAGAGAGCAATATCAGAGTAAACCATGAGTAACACAGCAAGTCATGAAAATCACAGTAAACCGTGAGCATGAAGTGAGTTACGAGTTTGACAGTGAGAATAAGTAGCAAACAAAACCCCAAAAAAAAAAAAAACAGTAAAGTCTGTATCACTTTAAACCATGAATATCACAAGGATCTATGAATATGAAAGTGGATTAAGAGTATTACACCATACCATGAGTGTACCATGAGTATCACAGTGAACCATGAATATTACAGAGAACTACAAATATCACAGTGAACCATGAATATTACAGAGAACTACAAATATCACAGTGAACCATGAATATTACAGACAACTACAAATATCACAGTGAACCATGAATATTACAGACAACTACAAATATCACAGTGAACCATGAATATCAGACTCAACCATGAGAATAACAGTGACTCGAAAGTATAACAGTGGAACATTAGAATAACAGTGAATCATTAATATCACAATGAACAGAACGGGAAAAGTAA